TTATTTAACAAGTATACATTTTCTCTATGTATGATTCTCCGAAGTTGTACATGAGCAGACAGAGAACTTCACAGGATGTGTTTGTAGTACATCACCATCAGGTTAATATACTTAGTAATTTTTTGTTTGTGTGTGACTATCCTGGATCTCCTCAACAGAGTTGTTAAAAACTTGTGAAGATTTTTAAGTCCTTAAAACAGTATTTCAGGGGAAAAAAATTTACAAGTATTTTATAGGCATTGCATGACACTTGCTGGAGTACTACACACTTAAAAAGAAAAAAAAACAAACAAGGAAAAGTGAAAGCATAACAATTGCAATGTTGGAAAATACCTGGATTTTTTGGGAGAAATAGCCTGTTGAAAAGCATGGATTGACATTTAAAAGGGAAGTCATTAATGAACGGAGCTCTTTGTTTCAGTGGATTTAAGATCAGGCCATAGATAGGAATAGTGTGAGTCTGCAATTGTGATACATTTTTGTAAGAGTACAATATTCTATAACCAGGTTCTTCAGTTATTCCATACATGGAGCGTTTAATGTATCAGGTTTATGTATTTGAGGATCTTTTACTTTACACAGGATTTTGATTTAGTAAGTGATACCACAGTGTTCTGAAATCACTATACAAGTTACACTTAGCAGAACATAACAATTTACTATATACATGAATCACTATACAAATATGATTCTTGTTTTCCTAGTCTTGTTTGATCTGCTCGCTGTCACAATGCTGATCATCCCCAGTTGCTGGGAAGGAATGTGGACTAAAGCCAGCTCAAGCCTTTCTCTCTTCAAATGTCTCCTTATTAATTGCTCAGCTTCAGTACTGTGTTAGGTTCAGCCAGATATACGCTGCCTGTGCTGGTTTAGCTAACTCAGGAAGACATTCACACTCTTTTGCTTATGTTTTTATTAACAGTTTGACAACAAACATTCACATAACCAATCTATTCATGCAACAGGCACAGTCATTTAACTAAAAGGCTGCTCTCTGGGCCCTTTTTTTGTTACATTCCGCTTTCTTTGCAACAGTGATGGTAAGTGGATTTTTGTCTGAATTCAGTGGGAACATGTCTGTGTAAGAGTGCCTAGCATATTTTCACAGGCAAGCACAGGAGTATTTTTACATGCATCAAGCTATGGAAAATTTGTGAAAAGAGCCCAAACAGGTGTTTTTTTTTTTTTTTTCCAGTGGAAGTTTTCCATCATCAATCTTGTTACTTTATCTTTTGCAGAGAAGAGTCTATTGCCACAGTGCTATTTTTTTCATATATGAATCTCCAGTTTAAAATCTTTTGGCCTTTCTAAAATCAGTCAGGTTCTTTTAAGGTCACTGAAGACAGACCTTACCCTTTGTACTAAGATAGAAAGCTATGAGAGATTCATCAAAGCAATATATTCCCCTGGAAGTACAGAACCCATTAGAGTCTAATGTTTACTAATATGCAAACTTTGGTAGAATTTAACTTAGTCTCTTAGTCATGTTCTCCTGTTCTCATATATATTTGCAAAATTGTACTGTTGCAGACATAGCTAAACTGCATTCATGTGAACTTAATTTTATCTGTTTGGGAATGGGGCTAAATTGTAAAACAGCTTAATAGACTTGGGGCTCATTAGGTGTTCATTATAAATACATCTTTGTAATCAAATCTCTTGTAATTTTGTTACTGTGGAATTAATACACTCGTAATGGAAAACACAGTACATTTCTGTTTCGATAAGTAAAGGAGCCTGTTACATTTCAATAAGTCAAACATAAATGTCACAGGTCAGAGACAACTGAAACAAAGTTTTTTATGCCATTGGTTTATTCTGGATAATCCCTACAAACATTGTTTAGGCTAAGGTGCAACTATGATTTTGGACTGAGGCGTACATATGTCTTCAAATTCTTCTTCCTCTCCAAAGCAAAAAAAGTAAGAGACTCCCAAAAGTTTCACAATATTTTTAGCTAGGGTTTGTTAGTGGAATCTGGTTTGCTTTCCTGTGGTATGGATACTAAATCCCATAGCAGAACATTGTCCAGTGTTGCCCTTTTAGCAACATGAAATGTTTAGGAATAAACATCTGCTGATGTGTGCGGTGAACTGATGAGGCTTGAGGCCGTGGAGACAGTCTTGGAATTCCTCTGTGAACAACCATTGAAGTTCAGGTCCCTTGGAGCTGCTCTTTTCTTATGGCTGGCATGCATGCTGTCTCCATCGTTAGTGTCGAGCACCACCGTCATGCTGGAGTCCATCCTGGACACAGCGTAGAGGCTGCTCTGCCGGGTGGGGTGGAACCTGGCTGCCTTGAGCTCCAGCTCGTCATAGCTGGACACCTCAATGAAGGGGCACCAGCGGAAAGCTCGCTTGAAGCCAGCTCGGAACCTAGGAGCAAAGAAGCCTGGTGAATGCCTGGGTTGGTAGAGCCAGCCCCAGGCCTTCATCTGAAAACACACAGTGCTGGCAGGATACTGACTTGGCCAATTATCCTGCCCATAGGCCTGGGTGTGCTGAAGTCTGTGGGAGTTTCCTTGACTGAAGTCTGAGTAGGGCAAAAAAGATAGTGTAACATCTCATTTCGGTTTCTGATTTTCTATATGCTGTCCCTGCATTTTAACATTGGTATTTTCCTTATAATTAATTTCCTGTCTTTTGTCTGTGCAAAGTAAGCAAACACCAACTTTCATAGACGTGTCTTCACAGAAATTGTTTTGATTTGACCTCTCATGAGATCTGCACCCATATTTTCATCTTTCATCAAGAAACTTCATAACTTTCTTTTCTCTAAAATGCCATCCCAGCTTCCAAATTTCAATATCCTTTCTGTGTCTCTTTCTAACAGAGATGCTTATATGGGAATGATGTAATGACTAATAATTGTTCATGTAAAATGTTTGGAAAATAATTTTAATAATTAAGAGGATCCTAGAAAGTTGAAATCTGAATGTGAGCAATGTACAAACAGGCATTTTGAGGCTTTCGAGCATCAGCATTTGCAATACTCATACAGGCAGGGATTCACCATAAAGACCATTGTTACATTTTGTGTATATGCATTTCCAGAATAAAAGTTTAATATATTAGAAAAGCAATTCCCTATGTATCTATGTATAACTAGAGAAAGAGCACATTTTCACTCAGACTTAAAGCCTTTTTTTTATTTTTTGCTTTCTCACTTGTCTTGCTTCTCTTGTTTTGTTTTAACAATCAGCTTGGTTGTTTATCCTGTCTGTAAGTTTTTTGGAACAGTGGTTAAACTAGCACAGTGATGACTGCAGGTAAAAATTCAAATCGAGTGTTCTGTTAAAGTTAACAGATCTCACAGAAGTGTCTTTTACTTCCTCAGATTTTGAAGTTTGCCATGGAGTTTTCACATGATGACAACTGAGCAGGTCAGTTGCTATTCAGCATTCTCTGTTTACATGCAGTCCATACTTTGGAAAAATACTGAAAGAACCTCTGATGGAAATGGATTTAGTGATGGCTATTGTAAAACAAAAACATCTTTAAACTGTGCTACTTTTCTTGGCACCTTCCATCCTCTTTCTAATTCAGGGCATGTTTTTTCTTCATTGTGAAATAACGCTCTCTTTATTTAGATATGTAACATCCTAATTAGCCTGGAAAATGAGGCTGGGGATAGATGTTCTGTCTGATACTAGAGCCAGCAGAGGCACAAGCTGATCTGACTCCCAGCAACAAGCTCTATTTTCCTATTTAATGAAAAGGAAGCAGACATTCTGGTATCTTCATTTCAATATGGAACTTAATTATAAGAAAACTGTCACCAGGATTTCATTCTTGCATCAAATTCTGAATAAGGTGACCTTTAGTATGTCTCAAAATATTAATTTTTCTGTGGTTGCATTCTTTAATCCAGATATTTAAATTTGCAGTTTGCAAGTGTCAACATAAGCCACATCAGAGATATTATTTTTTTATAAATATTTTTGTAACTGTGCCGTAAAATGTTTTTGAAGAAAATGGGATTAGTTTATAAGTTTTATGGTAGTAATTGAAATATATGAGGCCTCATTCTTCCTTGCCTTTGATTTTTCAGACACTGGACACTTACTGAAATCTAGTTTCTGTTGAAATTAATGGAAAATTTACCATTTGAGTTTTGTTCTGGCATGCTAAAACTTTGTCATCTTTAAACAGTTGTAAATAATGAAAAGCTCACCTTTAAGCAGTTGTAAAATGATGAAGAGCTCATCAGAAGGCTCTATGAATTTAGTCATTACCTTATCTTTTAAAAAGATAATGAATGTTAATCGTCATAAGTTATTCTCATCAAGAAGGATGACACCAGTGTTTTTACTCCAATAAAAACTTGTTAGGATTTGTTCACTTCATTTTTTATTAGATTCCTTTTGACAGATACTGCATGATCTTTAGTGGGTGTTGAGAAATACCTTGCAATATTGGTATCAAGTTTGACAGTAATTAAACTTGGCACTGGCTGCTAAGTCAAAAGAGATTTGAAATAATATTTGAGATTACTTATTCAATACTGATTCATACTGAGTTTGTGAAGTAATTAATTGTTCTTGGTGATCTTTATCCAATAATGCTAGGAGTGCTGGTGAATAGGATGGCCAGGATGCTTGTGTAGATCCTGGTCCTGTAAGCTGAAATGAAAGATTTGAGTGCATTCTGCAGTGCAGTTTTCTCAGACTAGGAAGTATTGTTAAAATGTCACCAAACTCAACAGGTGCAGTGCCTTTGAAATTTAGAGCATAATGTCTTGCCATCAAACAATACTGTAATTCAGTATTAAGTAATGAGAATATAAACATTAGTATAATATTCATCAGCCTGTTGCAGATTTTGGAGCACAGTAGAAATGTAATGCTGAGATATACAGAACACAGTAAATCTCATTTTATATTGCATTCTTCCAGCAAAACAAAATTTGGGCTACAATTAGTGAAACATACAGCTTGCACTCTATATTATTAATTACTGTCTTCTTTATTTTTGTATTTTGCAAACCAAAACCTTTAAACTGCTATAGTGTTTATTTTTTTTTTTTTTAATTTTGCAGGTGCACATGGGAAGGACTGGTTTCTGAAAATAGAATTTTGCTCTGAGATTTTAAGTAGACCAGAATTTTTACTGGAAGTTCACCTTCAGGGTTTTGGGGGTTCCTTTCAAGTACAGACCTAAAGAAAGGTGGGGTTTTTTTTTCCATTTTTTTTTTTTCCCACTAACTGGAAGCTATTTAAGTGAAAATTCTATGTCTGTTTTTCCATTTAAGCAGTTTATATTCTTGGTGAAATTATGCATCTCATTTCATAACCAGCTCTTACCTCTTATTAAGACAGCAGTAGATAATGGGATTGTACATTGTAGAGCTCATGGCAAGCCAAAAGCTGGCTAAATAGATTTGCTGAATGTATTTCCACCGATTTAATTGTTGATAGATCCCAGTAACTATGAAGTAAATGTGGTAGGGCAGCCAGCAGACGGCAAATGTCAGCACAACCACAATCATCATTTTTACCACCTGAAAGAAGTAATAATGATATTAAGCCTTTTTAATTTGGAGTAGCATTTCAACATCCATTAATAATTTTCTTGTAATTAATTTTTAAAGTTACTCAAAGGAAAGCTGAGTATACTTTTATATAGTTTTTCCTTTTAATCTATTTTTTTCTTGACTGGAGATCCACTTTTTCCTAAGAAAAATAGCAAGAAAACCTTCCCTAACTTTATTTGTATTGATTTTTGCAAATAATGTATTTGTTTGCTTATATTTGGCTATTTAAAATATCACTTTTTTTGTACATCTAACCGTGGCATAAGGTTACAAAGTATTTTATTCGGACACCTCATTTTGGCCTTTATTGTCCTTGGTGTTTATTTGTATTGTGGTGTGCAAGTCTATTTCTTTTCCCCAGTTTTTAGATGTGATTTGAATAACACTGTGTTGTAGGAGATGAGCAACTGGAGCATCCTGTGTAATTTCAGAGCCTAACAATTCCCTTGGCTGGTGATTATTATTTGTTGCTTTCTGCAGGCATCACATCTGCTAGCTACCATAGTTTCCAGTAAGCACAAATGAAGAGGAGCTCTGCTTTGTTTTCTAAACATGTGAAGAAAGCTTGCAACTCATGTAAAATTTTCACTCCCATCTTTCTCTTTTCAGCTGTGTCAAATACTAGTCCAGCTACCATTTGCAGCACAATATGTCACATGTTTTCACCACAGGTTTTCTTTTTGTAGATGAAATGAAGCTAGACATGACAGATCTGTGCTGGGAAGTCTCTTGTTCATTGGTACTTGTGAATACTGAGGAATAACAGGGGTCCCTATGAACAGGTCCTATATTTTCTCTGTACAAAGTGCCATTTCATAGTGTTTCTAGTTTTACCAAGGGAAAAATCCAAAGAGCTGAAATTTGCCATACTTACATGTCTTTGGTTGTTGTTTTTATAAAATTCCAACTAATACAATTAAACTATTTTGCATATAAATGTTATGGTATCCACCTTAACTTGCATTGCATCTTCCTATGGGAAACATAAAGCAATTTTTTATTTAAAAGCTGGCACCAATTAACAATATCTCCTGTTGGATGGGACTGTAATGTGCAAGATTTTGCTTATTAGAATACTTATTATTGCTGATATATATCCACTGATCATCACTTAAAGGCAAAAAAGAGGCATCTGGCCACATATAAAACATTAATAGTAGTTGGTTCTTCTGAAGCACTTTTCATCAGTTAACTATAAATCTACCTATGATCAGGAATGTTACTATAGGACATGTGAAAGCATGACACGAGCTGCTGCTATCGTAAAGGTAACAAAGAGGAAGTTTTATTTCAGACTCTAATATTTATACTTTTCTAAAGGTGACTTTGAATTGGAGGGTGAACATACTACCTCTCCAACTACACTGGACAAACTACTAGTACATCAAATTTCTCCACCTCTATGAAGGAATGCAAAACAATAGGTTATTTACAGAAAGTTACATGAGAAAATTTTCTACAAGAATGTAAGCTCAGAAGGCTTCAGAAAATCTTAAAAATCAGGGCAACACAGGAAGATCATTGTTATAAAAGAAGGCAACACAGCAAAACATAGTTTCACTTTTACGTTTCACATGTATGTTTATGTGTCTACATCTAGGCATATGTAAGTTTATGAGACTATATATGTGATTTTTGGGATGGGGAAAAGGTTATGATTTTATGTGGACAGAAATTTCTGTATGTGAAGTGATGCATAAAAATATGCTGTTAAATCAGTCTATCATTAAATGGCATCACTATTTCACTGCTTTTGACATAACTTCCACTGTTCTTCTGGGGACTTACTCCTCTGCCTTGCACACATTGTATAGGTAAGAGCCTTAAATCTGTAATTTTGCCATAGTATTTAAGCTCCCTGTCATTGATTTACAGGTGCCCTTTGCTTGTTGTTGTGTTTTTATAGATTTGTCAGGAATGATAAGTGTTACCTCAGCACCTTTCAGGACTTCTGTAATTTCAGAATGCTTGAGAGTCTTAATTACTTACCTTGATATTTAATCAGCAAGCCTTGCAGTACCATCTGTGCATGTGAAATTGTTCCTAGAATTAGTCATCACTAGAATATCATAGGTACTGAATGAAAAGATTTTTGTGTCCAAATTTTCAAAGTGTAAACAGGTAAATCTGTATTTACAGTGTATATTTCATCTGTGCGGTACTTGAGAACTAAAACAGTAGAGCTTCCCAGCAACAAATATAGCTTAATCTAGTTGAGCACTGTATCACTCATGCCCCAGGGATACTAGAAATCATAGAGTCCAGGTTGCCTGTTTGGCATACTTAGTTGTGTTAATTTTTTCCAAAAGAAAGTTGTATGTCTTTTTTTCTGTCATCCAAATGCTCATTGTCTAGTTTTACGTGTTATATTGAAGGCCGAGGCAAGCAGTGCTTCCAGAGTCTACTTAAAGGTCTCCTAAAGCTAATAAACCATCACAAGCTGTACAAAAAATAGCTTTTGGATTTCAGCTGCTGCAAAAATTGACCTTGAAGGAATGAAGTTTCAGTTTAAATTACTATTAAATATGACATTTCAGGTTTTCTTCAAGGGACCAGAAATCTCAAACTAACTTTTACCTGAAAATCCACAATTTTTCTTGTCACAATTTCAGGCAATTCAATTCTAATTTTGAACTTTTAAAGTTTTGAAATCAAAAATGCCAAATCACCCCCAGAGAATTTCATCTTTCCCTGCAAGGTTACTCTCTTGTTTAAAACAAAATACTCATAGTTTAAAAGAGTGAGATTGGTATAAGGTTTTCTTGTTGCTGTTTCTGTCTGGAAATCTATGATTAAATATTTAGTCATGATCCTCCTGAAAGCAGAAATTTCTGAAGCATATAGTCAAATTAGACAACAAGCTACAGATTTTAGATGGACATCAGTGTTTGATTTAATTTGTGAAGTAACGAATCACTTGAATGACGGACAGTGAGGCACATTACATTCTCAATCATTCAGGGTTGCATGTCATTTTAAGTATTTATATAGTACAGTGTGCTTACTGACGTATTTCCTAGGAGAAGATAAGTGAGATGTTGCAAGTCTGTGTGGTGTAAAATTGTTTGAAACAGAAGGCAATTAAGGTTAAATTTGAAGTCAAATGCAGAAATTGTGAGAGGAATCTAAAAGATCTAGTCTGTTCTCTTTTTGTCTAAGAATGACTGTGTGTTGGCAGAAATGGAGGAAAAAAAGAATGAGGATAAGGAGAGAGATTATTCCTAATATCCTTTTCCCTTTTAGAGAGAGGCACACACTACAAGGCCATACCTTGCAGTTTATAACTGCAGTTCTTGTCTGTAATGTTGATCATTCCAGTATAAAGTTTCATTTCTTGATTATATAAATAACTATGAACAGAAAGTGACTTCCTCTATAAACCTAGGGCACATTGAGTTTACTTGGAATAAATTCTGATGAACAAGTGCCAGTAAACCAAAAGAGAATGTATATTTTGAATTTCATGTACTTAGTATATTTTTGTCATTCTTCAAATGACTGTACAAGGATGTGAATTTATTAAGAAAGTAGACCTGTAACAGGCCCAGTATGAATTTACCACAAAAACTTGATTGTCTTTTCCCAATACACTGTGATGTTTCTCTAAAGAAACACCAGTGGCATTTCACAGATTCTCCAACTGCGGAGTATAAAAGAGAGTTTCAGTGTTGGGGGTTGTTTTTTGACTACTTAAACCTGTGACTGAAAAAAAAAAAAATTAATAGGTCTGTTCTGTTTCTCTTTTTTGAGATACTACTATTTTTTCAGCTGCTTTTCCTTCTATTCTGACTTGCATAGAATTTATTAATAAGGGTTTTCTCTTTTGCATTAGGAAACATTTCTAAAGCAAAAAATGACTGAATTCAGTTGTTTAGCTTAAGGTCTAGCTCTGTTCCTGCCACCGTTTAACCATGGAGCTTCCCAAAATGTGAATTGCTGTCAAAATCTTTTATCCCATTTTCCCCTGGTGTTTTGTTCAGTCTCCCTCTATGTGGGCAGCATATCTTGAGGAAAGAGAGTTTTTTCGGTTCTAGGCAATACTTTTGTTAAATGCATTGTGCTGAGTCTCCCAGCTGTGCAATCTTCATGCAAGTCTTGAGGCAAGATTTGTAAATGGAAAATCAAAGTATCTATTTTATACATTGATTTTCATCAACTAGTTCTGCTGATATTAATGCACTGCTGCCTATGTCTAAGAAAAACTATGTCTAGAGAAGAAAGTTAATTTATATGCTTTGTAGTATTTTCCTTTAAATCCTTTCTGAGTAAGAAGCATTCTTTCATTAATGCATGTAATGAGATAAAAATGTATTTAAAGAGCAAAACTGAGGTAAGTTCATTGGAATTGGAGTTTGCAAGTTTGCCTTTGCTGTGAAACACTTGGAACAGTAAAAGTGAAAAGGAACTAACAGATTCTGCTACACTTCGAAAAAACTGCAAGTACATTTATTTTTCCATCCTGTTTTTATTTTGCATGAAGAATAACTAGAAGAGTAGTCTGATTTTAGGTGTAGCATTGAGAGCAGCTCTTGAAAGATTTGGATTAAGACACTTTTCTGAGAGACTCAGTTGCTGCTGGAGGAATATAGCAATTCACATTGCAAGACATTGATTTGCCAGCAATACATAAGACTTGGACCATGCAATCATTTCCTTTTCAATCTTCTCTGCAGCTCTTTATTGCCTTTCTAAGTCATCTTTGATACTGCTGCTTCTACAAGTGCAGGAATTTGGCTTTTAGTTTCATTTGCAGTTATATCACAGGGAACAATTTATTAACTTTCAGAACTTTTACTCCTGGCTGTTATGCAGATATAAGCGAGAAGCAAATGATTTAAGAACCTATGGAGTCTAAGTTGGTCTTTGTTTACCCTCTCCTGGATGTTATTTATTCATGAACACAGCTTAAACACAGTTCACAGATAATCCCTGGAATCATAACTTTGGCCCTGTGCTCTTTTGGGAGAAGTAAAATGCCACACTAACATTTCACAAATTGTTTCTCCCAGCATGTTAGGACGCAGCCAGCAAATCCACTTCCTAGTCCTGGGGTCATACATGGCACTTATGCATGAATCACCAGAGAAGGAGCACCAATACGCCTTTGCTTCTCCACAATGCTTATTTGGAGTTAACTATATCTCTTCTGCAAGAAAGTTAGGATTCAAAGGTAATTCTACTGACAATAGTACAGAGATGGAACTGACTTCTGAGGTACCAAGTGCTTTGACTAACTCAGGGCTTTTCTGTATTCTTTCAGCCCACAGGAAAGGATGGATTATTAATAGCTGAAGGAGATGCACACTTAGGAGGAGAAAGTATGAGAGCGCTTGGAAGTCTTTCAGCTGGGTAAGGTATTTGCCAGTTCCAGTGCTCCAGATAATTTTAGTCTTCTGACTTGCATTTTCCATCTGTTTTTCTCAGTTACTTGAAATAAAGAAACTGTTTCTCATTTCAATTTACATACAGAATTCATAATCATTTACTTTTTAGTTAAGCTCTAAAGTTCAAAAATATATTGTCTTCTAGTGTGAAGTAGTTTTTAATTAGTTTGCTTTTTTCTAAATGCTCAGATGTGGGACTTCCCTAAAACCAAAGCAATTCTGACGTTTTTTTTATGAGTGGTCTTAGCTACTGCTGTTTTTAAATTATGTTTCCCTAAAGTTGCATAGAACACAGGTTAGAGAGTGACTTTGAGTTTCTCTCAACATGTCAAGAAATATCTATTCCATTGCAAAAAAGGGATAAATATCTTGCTCAGAATTTTATTTTCCTTGAGAATGTGTGATTTTACAGGCATCTGACTGGGGGCAAGGAGTAAGAGTTTTCACAAGTTTTGTGTTACTTTATCTAAGAAGAGATGTCTCGATTTCTCACAAGAGATTGTTGGATATTAGGCAATATGCTAATGCCTGCTGCTCAAACTAAGAGTTTTTATTCCTGTAAGCTAGACAACAAGTAAAGGTAGGTGGCCTTGTATCATTGCCTTGGTCTTAAGCATGAGTAGCATAAGTTTATGTTATTTAGAAAATGACTCTGAGTGCTTGTTGTGGGATTGACATTATTGGGCATGATAATCCACCTGATATCTAGTTCTGGAAAAAAAGTGAAAAAGCTGATCCTAGTGCTTTTGTATTTAAGATTCATATCACCACTTAGTTTACAGTACTTTCCATCCTTACCTGGAATGAATGATGTGGCATAATTAATTTCCATGCCTCCAACGAAATATGAGATTTGGTGTGGGGGGAAATAAAATTTTTTTTTTTTTTTTGGTAATAGGGGTAGTTAATTCTGAAGTCCACTTTGACACAATTCTGAAGGTGTTTTGAAACCTTTAATCCTCATTATAGGCTCCATGTTTAAATTAATTTTCCATATAGGACTTCTGAAGGAATGGCACTAGTAAATGTTCTCTTTTGAAAATTAATCTTACATATTGAACACTGCAATAACTAACTAATGCTATGATGAATGCCAATAAATTATGCAAAAGTTGCATACTATCTTGTGTTTTACTGTGGGCTCCTGATAATAAAATCTATCCTCCTGAACCTAAAATGAGATGGGCACCTTTTGTTATCTTCAGAATAGGAGCACAGACTCTCCTTTCATATGGAAAGGCAACTTTCTGAATTGTTTTATTTCCACCGTATTCACCTAGAGGAATTAAATAAGTGATTTATATAATTAGAAGCCATTTGAATGTTTACCATATTTCTCTAGAATTTTGGCACAAGAACATAATGAGAAGCAATGCAGATTGTTTACTACATAGTTTGAAAAACCTATTTCTTCTCCTTTCTCTTGGTAAGACCTATGAATTATTCCTGGACTGTACTTGTTTAAATTGCATGGCAGAATTCTGTCAGGAAAAAAGCACAGTTAAAGCTATTTTTTAGTTGCCATTATGCATTTGCAGTGTTAATAGCATTCTCCCTTTCGAAGTTTAAAGAAAAAACTTATTGCCACCAAAAAAAAAAAAAAAAAGGGGCAAAAAATTTTAATATTTTTCACCAGTCTATTTTCATTTAAATTGACTTCAAACAAAACTGTTAATGGCAGTGATGTTGAGGTTTATATTTTGAATTTCATGCACTTAGTATATTTTTGTCATTCTTCAAATGACTGTACAAGGATGTGAATTTATTAAGAGAAGTAGACTTGTGACACACATACAGAATATTTTGGAAATACTTGGTCAAGAAAAAGTGATACATGCTTTGGCCAATTATTGAAGAAAAATGTCAGGAGTGTCATTGTCCTGACAGCATCTACTTTTGTACAGACAAACATTGCTTCAAATATTAACGTATCCGCATGACTTGGCCATAATGGTCAACACATTGGTCATTATTGCCCTGGTTTGAATACTCCTGTGATATCCCAATTTGTGGAATAAAATATAAGCTGACCCATGCCAGGGTGGCTGAAACTCTTTCCTGGGAAACCTGGGGAAATAAATTACTTCCATCTACCCCAGAAAATGAGTAATGAAATAAAGGTGCTTTGAATAGTTGCAGTACAGAAACTTCTATAGAGTTCAATTATTGGGTTAGATTTGTTAGGGGAAGGCATTACCAGGTGTAATGTAGACACCCCTCTGTGTGCAAATTTGTACATTTTTGCTTTAACTCAGAAAAAAAACTGTGCTCAAGTTATGTATTTTTTTTGATGTGAAGAGCATCTTGTAATGAATGCAAAAGTGTGTGGGTGTAATACTGGAACTGCAGTTCTGTTCTGCTGAATATACAGGTCTTGGCTCTGCAGTCCTCCAGAATGAGTGATCTGCATCAGATTTCCTGGGCTTTTCACCACACAGATGCTTAGCAGTATTCTGGAAAGCTCAGCAGACTGAAAACTCATGCTAAAATTAGTTTGTTCATAACTTCCCTGCAGGGGGTCTATGAGGAAGGGTCTTCTTAATCACTCTCTCCTATTTCTCTGTGAGTGTGTATCTATATATACATTTATATATATTTTTACACACGCACACACACACAGGACTCTTCATGTAGTCATAATTTAGGATATGTAATGGCATAACTTTGACTGCAGATTAGATGATACAAAAAAAAAACCTCTTGAAGTTTCTAAGATTTGTTTCTATGCTGGTGAAAAAATTTGCATGCAATTTAATGAACACACTTTGTCCTGAATGTGGGATTAAAAGGTTACTGGTCTGGAGGGTCAGGTCCCAGACTTGAACTTGGAGATAATGGCACGGAGAAAATGAAGTCTGTCTTAAAAAAACAACTCCATAGTTTGAAACATGAAGTTCATAATCTCCATGCTGAAAATCTGAATGTTGAAAAAGAGACACTTGGCTTTCATTTGTCTTTCTCATAGGTATCTTGGTTTTATTATCAATGAACATATATAGTTGAATTCAGCAATGCATTTGAAAACACACTGAGCTCAATTGGAGTGAAGCATTGAAGCATTGTTGAAATTTTTTGTCTGTTAACCTAGCATTACTTCCATTCTTAAAAATATGAGGCACTAGTAAGCAGAAAGTTTTGCTCTAGGACTGTGCCTAGACTTTATATTTCACATAAATTTTCTGCCAATAGATGAAAAATATAAAAACAACAAGGAGAAACATCACAGCAGCTGTGAGTTCACAATTCTGAGCCTACTCACTGACCATGCAGAACCAGTATCTTAAATCTGCCCCTAACTTGGAGGTGTTGCCAGCTATTCTATAAAAATGTGTTGACCAGAAAATTTCCATCCGTTTGTCAGTAAATACATAAACTGGAAAGGCTTATGCACAGTATAAAGCCATTTTTAGTATTTACTCTGCTTTTACTTCTCTGTGATTGCTCCTTGAAGCATGGACAATGGGTGTGGGAAACATGTGTTTGTTCACAGTTCATAGCTGAGTTTTAGGACCTTGAGGCAATGAATGGAAGTTGGTGATGCTGCTAAGTGTTCTGTTGCTATTTGGAGATAGAGAGCAGAGAAGAACAGCTTTCAATAATTTTTTTATATTTCACTGTGTTAGTCATGTTCAGAGAATGATCAGGTCGAGGTCCGACTTTATTTTTACCTCAATAGGAAATCTTGTTCGAAATTATGGGCAGATCATTAAAAAGATAACAAATTTCTAGAAAAAAAATATTGAAAAGGAGAACTGGTGAACCCCCTTTTTTTTTTTTCCTGAAATTCTAAGACAATAAAACAGCTCAGTAAAAAGTATTTTGGGTTTAACATGCAATTACAGTAATTCCCCTGTACCTCATGCCCCAGTTTTTTCCTAGGCATTTTCTGAGCATGTCAAGAGGGAGACTGTGAAATAGAAGTCATGATTCACAACCTTAATAATTACATGGTTATTCCCTACATTTTCAGTAGGTTTTCAGTCCATATACTTGGTAATAGAAGGAGTTTACAGAACTTTTTGAAACTTAAAATCAAAGTTTATTGGTTATTCTGGAAAAAATGGTGCTTCTATGTGTGTGTTTAGGGAGGGGGTCATACATTATAATTAATGTGATGATTGTGCAAGAACTTAATGGTAAATGAAGAAGCCCAAATCAGATTTTCACATCAGTATTCTGTATTCTTGTATATGTTCTTCTATGGGAACATATTACTGCTCAAAATAGTAACAGATATCTTATTCTGCTAGTATTTTCACTTGAAAGCTAGTCATATGATATTCTGACCCTCATTGCCCTTTTCAAGTTTTTCTTAAACTTAGAGAAAATAAGCTTTAAAAAATCCAGTTCTGCAAACTTTTGTCTGTAATAGCAATTACTTGCAAGTTGAGACTTTGACTATAGTGTTAATAGCAATCTGGTGAGTCTGGCAGGGTATTTGTCTTTATGGTTATAGAACAACTGCTTAAACTGTTAGTGGAACACTGGCATCTGCAGTCTGGCCCAATAACTTTCTTTATGGCCAGTCCTGGCTCACACATGCAGAGCCATGGAGAAGAGCAGCAGGCAGGGTAAGCATCTGTGCTCTGTAGGAAGCATGTACATCATATCACATCTCCTTCTATGACTAACTCAATCTACAGGGTTACAAACCAAATTTTAGGGATGTGAAGCAGTTTGCAAAGTCAGGCTTAGCTTCATTAGGATTGTTTTGCATCTACTGTATTAACAAGGCTATTTCATTCTTCCCATGAATAGTCAGAGTTAAGGATATCATAGTAAGAGGTGCCCTGAAACATAATGAGAGGAAACCTATCTTTAGTTACTGATTTTTGTAAGTAATTTTACCTGTTACATTTCACTACTGAGCATGATTTGGGAAACACTTTACACTGGAAAGGTAGTTGAGAGAAAAAAAATTGAAAGTATTTAATACTATTCTCTCTCCAATCTGAGATATATTCTCTAAGTATCAGTCTTGAGATCTACCTAATTTTAATGTATTTACTGAGGAGTTTTGTACAGCAAAATAAAGGCATGCCAAGTAAGTTTGATGACAAGACGCTTCTGAGCAACTTTGCTGCTACAGAAGCAAGAAGGAACTGGGATGTGGAAGAACTGTGGGAGCAGAAATGAAGTTTCACAGTGCTGGTCATATACTTTGTATGGTACCACTAGTGATTGTGTCCCTAGGTGGGGTGGTGGCAGTGACTTACAGATATCACAGATATCTATCAGATAGGAACTGCTGGACTGGTACTGTGCTAGTTTAATGGGTTGTTTTACACTGTACTTCTATAGGTATGATCATACTCAGAAAAATTCTGGGATCTGCTCAACTAAGGACTAATAAAATTATCTGCTGTGAATTTGTTTGCCTGTTGTGAACAAAGGAGGAGGATACAGATGTTATTGACTCATAGCCAAAACCAGATCATGCATTTAATGAAAGGAAAAAATTAGATGTTAGGATATTCCAGGTGAGGCATTCTCAGTGGAGAACAGGGAGTTACCCCTGTGCAGGACCATGGTGACGTTACATTACTGGCATTCCTTGTCTGGTTTTGATCACTTGTTACATAAAGTTGTTATATAAAAGAAGATGAGAAGCACTTGTTTAATTTATGCAACAAACTTATACAAAGATTGAGAGGGGAAAAATGGACATAAAAACATCTGTAGAGCTGACAACAGTGAGGGATGTTAGGTAATTAATTAAGCTAACTGAAAATAATGGCATAGAGCTGTCTGAAAAAATTTAGCCTGGAAAACGGAACTCTAGGATTGATGAGATTTTTTAGAAGATGGAGGTTTAAGATGATAGCAGACAACTTATCTAAGAGTTTTTTGTGGTGACAGGCCTGAGGGCTGGTTCCTGTTCTGGGTTCATTTAATGTTTTAATATTGAAAGACACAAACTGACACTTTGAATGAATAAGTGGAGAAAGCACTGGACAGTGTCTGGCAAACAAGGGATGAATTTGTTTTCTGAAGAGCCTTTAAAACCATCTGAGAATTCCTTCTTCCTGTTTTATTTTTCTTTATGTTAAATAAGAAATGTGACATTGCCAAACACAAAACTTTCCATGACTCATTGATATGAAAAGCTTAAAAAATATTTAATTTCAAGAGTAGCTTCACAAAATCTGAGATATATGACTATGTGATTATAACCTCAGAGGAGACTGACTTAAATGTATGAAATCATAAAGTCAGACTAATCACTTCAGGAATATTTTGGTCACTTTGCTTAGGAGAAACACAGTGTATGAGCATTAGCTACCACGTTGGTATTTTTCTTCAACATCTTCAGTTGGCTGAGGAATTAATTGGTGGACATTTCTATGTAAGGACTGCAGTCTTTAAAAAGCATCTCTGTTTCTATTGATTGTTGGCT